TGTAAGTAAAAATAGAAACTTCAAAGTTTAGTTGAGTTTCAGACAAATAAAATCTGAGCATGAGTATTAGATTGTAGCAACGCTACTAAGGCACTCTCAAGGCTTTCTAGTCTATTTTAGTATTAGCTTACTCTAAAATATACACAAAATATACAGAAACATGAAAAAGATTCCAGGTTAGCTTGACCCAGAGAAAACCAGCCGTAATTAAGACATTGTGGTTCTCTGCACACGCCCAACATGCTTAACCTTGAGGAAAAAATAACCTCCAAAGCCTAATTTCTTAAATGCAAGTTGTTTTTCTTCTTGAGGCAAAGGGAAGGATGAACTCTACCAAAAGCATTTTACTTTAATACGGAATTCTTGGCTTCAGCCTTATCTGCACCTTCACTCCTTGTGTGACAGGGATTCAAAGCTGTTGAGTGCCTGCAAATGTTGTGTAACAGCCATTTCAAAATTAAAGTCCTCCACATTTTTGCCAATCATCTGGTTCATTTGCAGATGGCTTCCAGTGCAGGAAAAAACTCGTGTGACCTTTCACCAGGAACTGCAAAAATGTACCCGAAACAGCCTTCGCTCCTCCCCTTCACCATCACAAAAAGCCCTGCACCCAGCTATGGAGATGCAGTGAGGACTACACAAGGGATTTTCTATGCCAAGAAAGTGATAGGCTTAACGAAGCCTATGGCTAAATCAAAGCCATCAAATGCCCTTGCGTGTGACCTGCAGCCCTTGTGGTATGCTGCCAGCCCCATGCACAAGCTTTGCAGGAATATACCCAGCAGGACAGTAGCTTGGTGGTGGAAATGTACAGCAGGAAAATGATACGGCAACACCTGCTTTCCTTATCTTCTGCGTTTCGCTTTGCCTCTGCCCCAATGAGTTTGCTGGAGGAGACTCCCCATCAGCTGTGGACGGACCAAGTGTCGTGCTGAGACATTTCAAACCTGTTTTGAAAGCTTAAAAGCTTAAAAGACTTCCCTCCATAAAGACAAATTTAACTCCTGCTCTTCTGACTGCGGAGCAGCTGTGTTTTCCTGGCGTTAAGGTGTATAAACACTGCGCTAGAAGGCAAAGTACCAGGGTGAAAGTAACTCTGTGTGTTTAGTGTACGATATCAGCACCTGACAGTACACTAGTGTTTACGCAACATTTCAGCTTTATTGTAACTCTGTCCTCGGAAGAAAACAATCAAAAATGCTAAAAGGCCCACACAGAGAGCTCTTTCAGTGCTCCATAAGTTCATGTGCAAAGTCATGCGTGAAATGGGAAGTAACAGCTCAGGTGCTAGTTAGGCTGCAAATTCCAGCTCTGCAGATCATGAGCCTCCCCCAACACCCCTGGAGCCAAACTGGTGAGGTGTTGCATGGACGCACAGGCTACAGGGTTGTGACTCTCCACTCGGCTCCTGCTGAGGCCTGGTGTCTGCAGGGAGCAGCACCGTGGGGCCAAAGTGAGAGCAGCACCTACACCAGGTGCTCAAGGACAAAAAGAGAAAAGTTGGCTACCCTTCCACTGCGTGTTAACACCTGGTAAGACTGAAACTCTTCAGAATTAAGCAAGCTCTTGCCCAGTAACTGAAACGAACAATAGGAAGGGTGTAGACCAAGCTGCCGAGCTGGAAGGAACAAATATTTCAGCTCACCCAAACAGCCTTTGGAGCAGATCCAGCAGCAGCTGTACTGCTGGAGCTCTTACGCTTCCCGGTGCAATTCAGGGGGCACCTACATCATGATAGAGAAGGAGGGATAAGCACTCTCACCACTGGTTAGGTAACTATTTTGCTCATAAGTGCGTGAATCAGCAAACTACTGAATTAAGTAACTAGAGAAATTAACAATTTAGGTTGGTCTACAAACGAGGGATTAACCACTTTTTTGCTTTTATTTTTAACTGGATGACCTCATTAAAAATAAAACTTTTTTTCACACAGTACAGTGCCATGTGAATTTCAGAGACCGTGAAAAAGGTGAGTGGGAAATGCTAGATGGGAAGAGTTGTCATCAGATGTACAAAGTCCAGGTGGCAGCTGGATACTAGCGCTGTCCCTCAGGAGCCAATATTGTCTTAACATTCATATTAACAACCAGGGCAGTAGGATGGACTCTGCCCTCGCAAGTGTGCAGCGGCACCACACTGGGGTGGGGTGGGGACTGCAGCTTGTGCAGTGGTGTGCAGGGCTGCTCTTTAGAGGGACTGTGACAGGCTGGGGAAATGGGCCAGTGTGAAGCCCAAGGCAGGAGCACAGACGTCCGGGGAAACGTGGAGGGATTGGGCTGGTTCAGCCTTCAGGAGAGAGCTTAGCAGTGCCTGCATGTCCCTCCTGGGGGTGGGAGGGTGCAGAGAAGATGCAGCCAGACTCTTCTTGGAGGCATCCAGTGAAAGGACAAGGTATCTACTGCAGTAAAGAAAATTTAAATTAGGTGCTAGGAAAATTTTTCACCATGAGGGTGGTCAAACACTGGAGGAGTGTCTCATCAAGGTTGTGAAATCTCCATTTTACTAATTTTTAAGTGGGCATTAGCCCCATTTTGTGTGGGAGGGTGGGACCAAATGACCTCCAGAGAGCCCTGCTGACCCCTATAACTCTAGCGCAGGGCCTGGACTAGGCACTTTTAGAGAAAATCCTTCTAAATCCTGAATATATCAGCAGCAGAGAGATTCCACCTGCATTAAGTGAGGCTGCCCTTGGCCCTCATGTGTTAACACCGATGGTGTCTCTCAAACTGTTCCACCAAAACTCCAGTTTTTAAATCCCTCCCTATTTTTCACAGGTTCTTTATTTTTTGCCACAGTTCTGGATTGCTTGTGTTCACAGAAGCCAGCAAACAAATAAACAAAACCTTTATGAATTTGACTGAATTTAGCCAAGAGTTTTGTCCAAAGAAATCAAGTAAGTAAATGCTGGCAGACTGTGAGCACTTTATTTCAATTTCCATGAGCAACGTTAGATGGGATGAAAGTCTAATTGAAAGACGGGCAAGTGAGGAAATGTCCCGTAACAATGAAGTGCCCTGTTTCTGGATCAGGCTGCTTTGCTCAGCTAGAAAACCGAAGGTGCTTTGTAAACTGTGCTTCCACAGTTTACGGCAGCGCCACAAAACAAGCAGCTCTTCAGCTCAGCTACAAAAAAGAAAGCAAACCTACCGGAGCATGACGCCCTCCCTGCACCCTCCGTGGGCGCCGCCAGGTGCGCGGAAATGTTTGCTGCGTGGGGCGCGACTTCCTGCCTCCGCAGCCTCCCTGCTGGGCGGCATGGCGCAG